TTAAAAACAATATACTAATTTTACCTCCATAGAAAGGAAGGTGGGTGCCTGGAGATTTTACTGGATAGCTGATCCCTGAACAATGCAGGAGCAAGGGGCACCAAACACCCAATGCAGTAAAAAAATCCACATATAATTTTTAACTCCCCACAATGGAACTATAGCCATCCCTCATTATCTACAGGGGATTGGCTTCAGGACGCCCGACACCAAAATTCCCAGATGCTCAAGTCCCCTTATAAAATGGCAAGATCAATACATATAATCGGCTCTGTTTCCAATCCACGACTGGCTGAGTCTGCAGATGCAAAACCAGGGGACACAGAGGGCAGACTGCATGTTTATTGAAAAAAATCCATGTGTAAATGGACCACACAGTTCAAGGGTCACCTGTAGCCCCTTATTAACTCTAACACTATGTGAGTGTATTGCCCAAAGTTCTACAGGACAAATACAATCCTCAGCTAGAACATGACAGGAGCTGCAAATGTGACAGCCAGCTAACTACTTTTGATATTGGGGGGGTCTGGAAATAACCCACAATTAAACCCAAAGTCCATCGAAATCCTCCAAACACCACTGAGGCTGGTTCAGAGTTATGTCGGACTGTTCTGCCCACTGGCATCTGCTTACCTGGGTACCTTTCGGAGTCCTATCTACTTTAACACACAAGTAATCTCCATTTTTTTGCCAATGTAGCTTGCAATCGACAACGTTAAACAGATTCCTAACTCTGATCTCTTGTCTGGTGGGAAGCTGCATCAGGGTGACCCTGGCTGGAATATCTTTGTCTTCAGGCACCCAAAAGGCTATGATGTTGCCACCGGGAGACCAAGAAAAGTCTCTGCAGAACAAAGAAAAGAAGACGTTACACAGACCGGCTGAGGGATGAAAACGGGAAACGAGCTCATCCCTCTACAGCAGCGCGGCACTAGCCAGCAGCACCGACCTCACTGGGAGCGTACCTGCAGGCACTGGTCCAGGGCCTTTGCCTGCAGCTCCTCTCGTCCTCACAACCACCTCACTCTGCCAGGGAGCAGAACTGCGAACCATGCTACCCACCATCACCCGCTGCCACCCGCTGCGCTGGTCAGGATTCAAACCTAGGCTCCACCATCCCACGTGCCCCACTCTTAGCCGCCACCTTCTCCCACTACAGGCAGGTAAAGTCAATTTTAGGCTGACGGATCCAGCTACATGATTTCTAAAATCCATTAGGAAGCGAACGGGAAAAGCCCCCACCAACAAGCACACAGGGTTCGGAAGACCGAGGGCCATGCCGCGCCGTGGAGATTGCCCCAGAGGAGACGCGGTGTATTGAGCACTTCATGAGTTCACAGCTGTGAAGAGCACCTTTACTTTCGCATTTATTGAGAAGTCCTGGTTTTATTTTTTAATTACAAGCCTCCATTTTGCCCAAGAATGTAAAACTAAATAAGAAACGTGCTGGCACTTCACTGCTGAGATACAACTAACCCCAAGACATCAGGGAAGGAAACACGTGCCGTCTTTGACAGAGCGCACGAGCCGCGATTCACTGAAGGCCCGGAGCCCCACTGCATGGGTCACCAGGGAACAGAGGAGACTGTCACCCACCCCCCGAAGGCTGTAGCTCTCGTCCCCAGGCAAGAACGTGACGTGAACAGACCTGAATGTGGCCCATAGGAGGCGCCACGTGAAGGGAAGAGGACTTCTGACGGCGAGGGCTGTGAGCAGGCCCAGTGCCGAGCAGCAGCCCAGGTGGCTGTGCCGTCCCCATGTCTGGGACACCAAGTAGTGTTTCCTCTAGCTGTGTAAGAGCCCAGTGCCAGCGGAAGGAGAGCATTTTAAAGCAGCTTGGAGGGACAGTCACTTACTTTATGCCAGAGATCTTCAGGCTCTTCTTGTCCAAGAGGCCCATTGACTGCCGGGAAAACGAGGGATACAACTGAGTCAAATCACGCCAATGTCCCAATAACACAACTCTTTACAAAAAGGCAACAAGAGATTCTGACGTGAGCTGGCCGAGGGGGCGGTGTGAACACAGAGGGTGAGATGAACAGTGCAACAACTCCCGTTTCCAAGCCACTTGTCCCATCCCTCGCTCTCTGTCGCACCGAGTGGGGCTGGCAGATGAAAGACCAGCCCCATGACACGGGAGACTGAAGGACACGAGCTTTGCCTCGCTCTGCACACAAGCCCCTCCTCCCGGCAGCTGCCACAAATCAAGGGCCAGCTTGCATCTCCTGCAACCACTGAGGCCGGCAGGCAGCTCAGTTTTCAGAAAATTAAACTACTCACAGGGGTTTCATAGATGCTGAGGGTGTCGAGTGTCATTCTGGCAAAGAATTTACCATCATGGCTCCACCTAGGAAGAAAGAGAGTAGTGCCAGGCTCTGCCAACGGGAAGGTTACAGGGATGCCACCACAGCCACCACTGGTCTACTTACTTAAAAATAGGCCAGTGGGCTGAGCTTTCACAGTGAAAACCTCTCTTCTTCTGCCCAGTAAGGATGTCCCAGATGATGGCCTGAGGGTCATCCTGATTGTCCATCAGGGGGCTAAACGTCACCAGGTATCTGCAACAGAGGGGGACACTTTTTACAACCCGCCGCACCCTCCCATTCTCTCACCGAGGGTCACGCCTCTGTCTGGATACGGTGAGGACCGGCCCCACGCTACAGTAGAGGCGGCCGAACTGTGGCCTCAGGTTCCCCCAGCACAGGCNTCCGCGTCCTCGCCGCCCGCTGCCTCCTGCGCGCCGAGCCCCGCGAGCCGCGGCGGCTCCTCCGCCGGTGGCGGATCGGCGTCCGGCTGCTGCTGTCCGGGCTCGGCCCGCTCCTCGGCCGCCTCGGGCGCCGCCACGTTCTCCGCGTCCTGCATGGGCCCGCCGCTGCCGCCTCACCCGGCCTCGCCGCGCTTCCGACTCTCCCAGGCCGCACCGCGCCTACCGCCGGGCCATGTGCGTGCGGCGGGGCGTCCCACGAGGACCAGAGGGGTGTGCACCCCCGCCCCGATGCCTCACGGCGTGGCCGGAGGCACTCAGAGGGCAGAAGTGTGTCTGCCCGTGATTACGGTCGTTCTCCCACGACAAGTACGTGCTCAACGCCAATCACCACCGTTCCTCGGCTCCATCTGCAAACTCACTGGGAACTACAACTCCCCTCCTTGTGGAAGAGGATGGTCCCGCCCAACATGGCAGCCACTCTCGTCCTTCTCCCGTCGGGCGCTACGGCGAAGGACTGAACTATTTGTGACGCCGCTGGGAGGTACCAGAAGTCAGCTTAGTATTTAGCATTGTATGAAAAACATAACTTAACTCAAAAACGAATACTAGAAAACACTGTAAGTTCAGCAAACTATTTTGGTTGTGATGTCTCAGCCTTCCACCAGGCAGTTTCGCTTCCATTACTGAGTTCCCCCTTGACATGTCGCTTTTTAGACTCGTCTACTGACTGGGCACAAGAATGGACGATTCCAAAATACAAAAGGAATTCCTGGTAAGCCAGACATGGCCAACACTACTAGAAAGACGACTTCCTAGCGCAACACAAAGGTAAGTGAGAGCTGCTTTAATCGATTATGCTGCCCACGCCCACCGAGGAGGTTGAAATCCCGCCTTTCCCCATTCTGATGGTCACCGTGGTTCTGCCCACAGAAGCCTCGGCCCTCAAACGCGGGAGCGAGCGCGGACCACGTGCCCGGGGCCGGGGCGGGGCCAGGAGCGGGAAGGTGCCCCGGTGAGTGACAGGAGGCCGCAGGACAAGTCTGGCTCCGGTTTGCCGTCTCCGGAAAGGGTGTTCTGTATCTGTATCTTGTACTTTGGTTATTGCCAGGCGTGAGGACAACCGCTCATTGGAGGCGTTTCAATCACCCTAAAAAGGAACTCCGTGGCTGGGGGGTAAGGGAACTGGGAGTTTAATGGGAACAGAGTTTCAGTTTGGGAAGATGAAGGAAGGTTCTTGAGATGGAGAGTGGTGACGGATGCGCAAGAGTGTGAATGTACTTAGTGCCACAGAACTGCACAGCAGAAATGGCTAAAATGGTGAATTGAATGTATATTTTATTTCAATTGAAAAGAAAAAAACAACCAGGTTCTTGGGTTGCCTCATACTAAGTTTGAATCCTCCCCATCTTTCAGCTGTAACTGGAAGGTTACAGCTGGTCACTGGACTTCTCTGCCTCAGTTTCCCCATCTGTAAAGTGAGGAGTAACCCGTTTCATGTGCGTGGCCTGTGGACTCGTTTCATAAAGGCAAATTGATTCCTCCTAGAGGTCCAAGTTTTCCTAATTTCTAGTTTCGTCTGCAGTTTTCATACGTCATTGGGCTCTGCTAGCCCTTTTCTAGAAAGTGCTAACAGTGATTTGGTCGAGAATAGATATTCACGGAAAGCTTGGAAACAGCTGATGTTGGTTTGGCAGTTTCATGCTTTTTAGGGAAGACCTGTGTGGCACGCACCTCTGTGGCTGTTCATTGCTGTTCCCCAGTGAAGGCACTTGGCATATGCTTTAATGCGGGGAAAGTTATGAATGTACTCATGAAAGGAAAAAAAAACCAGTCCCCCACCCTCAGAAGCCTGAGAAGGGCTGCAGCTGAGATCCGGGCGGTGTGGGTGCCTAACTGGGAGGCGCTCTGCTGCCCTTTACAAGTATTGTTTTCTTTACGAATCGAAGGCTCCTGGCAGCCCTGCGTGGAGCAGGTCTATCGGTGCCATTTTTCCAATGGGCTCAGATGATGGTTACCAATTTTTAGCAACAGAGTATTTTAAAATTAAGGCACGTACATTGTTTTTTTAGACATATTGCTATTGCACACTTAATAGATGACAGTATGGTATAAACATAACTTTTATATGAACTAGGAAACCAAAAAATCTTTGTGAATCGCTTTATTGCAATAGCCGCTTTATGGCTGTGGCCTGGAACGGAACCTGCAATACCTCAGATCTGCCTGTGCAGTGGTCAGAAAAGAATGTATGATTCTTGCCACCTTGGAAGGACAGTGTGATAAGAGCAACATTCATGAGTGAAAACCTGACAGAAGTGAGTGTAATAGTGCATTTGTGATAGGTTCACAAATTCTTCAGCACTCCTTCTTTCAAAAGGGGAAGCCAAACCCTGCT